CCCCCCTCCCCCCGCCATTCCCCAGCCACTGAGAATGCCCCCCGACATGCATCGATCTCCGAGCACATCAAACATAAAATAAAAACGCGGCCACAAGAGCCGCGTAGAAGGAAAGTAGTGAAAAAAAAATGTCTGCGGCAAAGTCTGACCTCGTGGTCCAACCATGCGACATCCAGCAGCCTCTCACAGCAGACACCAGCAGGCCTTTAACTACTCCACCCCCACCTCGGTCAAAAACACAACCCAAACAAAAACCAAAGAAAACAAATAAAAACGGCCGCTCGTCACGATCATGGAGGAAGTGATGATGGGAATGGAAAAGGTGCAGGAGAACAGAAATCAAAGGAAGGAACCCTTCATGCTGCGACAGAAGCGGAACCCGTCGTGTCGCGGTGACGGCTCACCAGCCATGCCTTGTCGTGGAGCCACTTTACCCAGCAAGCTCTGCAAACCGCGCAGCTTTTAAAAAGAATCAAGGTGCAATGGACAGCCCACAACACCGACAACAACACCGACAGGAAGGGCCGTCGTGTGCGACTGCGTGCGGCGCCAGCGCACCATGCTGTAGTGAAGCCAGAGGAGGGGTGGTGGGGTTGGTGTATGGGAGTAAAGCTGAACACAGAACAGCTATCCCGAAACCTTCTCTGGGGTAGAACGTACTCACTGTCATTGTTAGACATGGGAGGGTGGGGGACGGGGAGAGAATGGCCACAGATCTGAGGGGGGTGGGCTTACCTCAATCTTGCGTCCCTCCACCAGCGTGCCGTGGAGCTTCTCTCTGGCTCGCTCTGCGTCTGAACTCGACTCGAACGTGACAAAACCAAAGCCCTGACAGGAGAAAGGGGGGTGGGGGGGAGGCTTATTCTTGTTCTCAGTTTAAAAAAAATAAATAACACCATTTCTTTCCTCCTCCACCGGCCTACCTTGGAGCCCCTCTCGTTGAAGATGATCTCGACGTCGAGGATTTTGCCGAATTGCTGAAACAACAAGAGCAGCAGAGGGTGAGGAGAACGAGGAGCAGGATTTAAGTCCCGTGCTCACCACAGGGAGTCAGCACTGTGCAACCATGACGAGATGGAGCCCAGCCAGCTCCGGTCTCCTCTCACATCTTCCTCGCCTCTGCTCTTTTCTCAGCACCACATTTTAGATGCATTACTCTTACTAAACAGCACCGCTCGAGAGCAGATTTCACTTTAAATAACCTGCCAGCAGGGTTACATTTCTGACCGAGGACTGCCTGAATATAAATTATTTTTAGCTAAACAGAGATGAAACAGAAACAGAAACAGAACTGTAGTCTGTTTATTCTTTTCTTTTGAAACACCAATTGAAAAAAATAAAAATAAACAATAACTTTAACACAACAGGAAGGATTCCTCACAAGTCCAAAGCCACAGTTACACGATGAAGAGTAGAAAATAAAAAAAAGAAATACTTCAATCTACGTACCCCAAACATCTGCCGCAGGTCAGGGTCTCGGAAGCGAAAAGGGATGTTGGATACGTGGAGGCGTTTGGGGGTCCCCTTGGCATCCGAGTCGTCCCCGGGACCCCCACCACCACCCCCTCCACCTGAGCCAACTCCCGACTCGATCTGGGAGGACCCATCTGACTGCAGGAGCAAAAAGACACGAAAAGGTTGATTAAGTGATTATATTGATGATCATTATGTGTTAATGAGCTGATTATACTCCTGATCAATCCGTTCATCTGGTTGCCGAGATAATTACATAAAATGATTGCGTTTAAAGAGCTTCTTTTGTTTCTACAGCAGTCGGATAAGACAAGAAAAAAGAAGAAGAAGAAGAAGAAGAACGGGAGGAAAAAAGCAGCCAGCGTCCAAAAAACCCAGGAAAGAAAAGAAATAAATAATAACAGAAGTCTGGAAAACTACTGATCAAAACCACTTTAAAATTTTCTCACAACAAAAACTGGTGGATAATCAGAAATAGAATTCAATTTATTGACCAAGTATTTTTTAAATACAAGAACACTGATGTGGTGTTGTCGAGGTGCAGAGCATACAACGTAAACAAAGAATGAAAATCTAAATTACAAAGGTTTTAAAACAAAATGTAAGATATGAATTATACAGAAATAGAACGTCAAGATAAAATAAGTAGGAGACTAGTGACTAAATAAGCTTAACAGATACTAGCTAAGAATTCGAACTACTGACTAGCGGTGCAAAAAATAAATAAACAGCAAGTTAATGTTGCAAATAGAAAATGTTTTGTGCAAATGAACATAATTACAGTGCGCACTTGACATCAGTCCATAAGTACGTCAGGGTAATGCATAATGTCTTTACATTAATGTAATGTGCAGTGGGGGGGGGGGGGGTCGAATCAGTGGGGGTCCCTGGATTTGTTGATGCCCCAATAATACAAAACTCGTGATTTTTTGCAGAGTTCTGTAGACGGAAAACAAGGTTCTTTGCCTTTAGTTAAAAAAGTGGGTGTAAGCCAACGACAAATTATAATTCTAGATGGAATACAGGGTCCTGGAGGTTGGAGCCAGAAGGGAACCAGCGTCCTCATAAGGTGGTCCCAATACTAACTTTAAGTCCTGCACTATTCATGTCATCAAACAGGACTTTGTCCTATTTATACAAGACAAAAATCTTTTTCTTTTTTTGTTATGTATTCTTTACCTCCTCCAAATTTCAAATATTCATTCATCACTTTTATCTGTAATTGGTTTTTTTTCCTGCTGAAGAAGAAGGTCACGTGACATCCTGACGATGGTGCTTACTTGGGCACTGAGGCTGTTGTTGGCTGCACTGTTCCCTGCTCCTCCAGCTTCCACGGGGCCCTGCACGGCCCCTGCTGCATACAGGCTGCTCCCGTAATCCAGGGCCAGGCCGTTCTGAGGGGGCGGCGGCGGAGGTGGTGGGAACGCGGAGAAAGGTGGGGGCACGAGTCCCTCCTGACCGCCAGCACTATCCTGAGAGCCCTGTAAAAAAAAAAAAGGTAATAATGAAAGTGGGGAAGAGTGAGGAAGCTATATATGTTTTTTTCCTGAGTGCACCGCCCAAAAACACCACTTTCCCTGACGCTTCACCCAAAAAAAAAAAAAAAAAGGTGGTTGCTAAATTTTAACTTTTCCCTCTTGTGTAAAAGCGTGCATGCATCTACAGCCACTGCCTATTAAATATTCACTGCAGCCACATCTATTATTGAGGGTCAGATGCCTCCATGCTCCGTGTGTTGTACAACCACGAGTGTCTTATGCCCGCACACACACTCACAAACGCCTCTGCACACAAACCACCTTTGACACGCTAACACCCACACATCGAAACGCTCACACTAAGACCAACTGTTCGTATGGAAGCCCGTCCAAGTATTTCACACACAATTAAGATACTTGTTTAAGTTATCGACAGTACGAAAACAAAAAGAGCACGTTGGAGAGCAATGCAGGCGCCCGCAAATACGCGCACATTCCTGGCTGCTGGCAGCGGGGCACGGATACCCTAAATGGTAATGGTTTGAGAGCGAAGAGAGGACAGCAGGGAAGAGAGAGGAAAGGGGGGGGCGGTGGACGATAAAAGGTGGTGACTGATAGAAGAGGAATGGTCTGCCTCGGATCTATAGCTGCAAAGATAAACCATCCATCACTGTCTTTCAGATCTATTTATAACCCTGAGGACTGCGCAGAATGGTCAATCAATTAAAGCTGGCAACAAACTGAGAGAATCGTTTAGTTTTAGTTTATTGATCTAACTAATATAATTACAGCAGGACTGCAGCCACGCTTGGCTGCACCTGTCTGCAGGCGCGCTTTTGGGTAAACGTTGATGTCGGCACGAAATTATGCTGAAGCGGCTGTTTTGGCTTTACGGTAACAGCGTGCGTTGGCTGGGATCTCAGTGCTGCATCATAGCTGTTTACACTGAGGCTCCTAGAAAAATATTGTGCTGAATTTAACCAAATGTGATATTAGATGGGTAATTTGATATAAGCTGAATAGGATATTTTATTGTTGCACAAACACTCATCTTTTCCAGTGCAGCAATAATTTAACTCTGCTGGTTTGGGGCCGTTTGGGCCCCCCCCACCCATGTTCCTGCATCGATGGGCGGTAGTTGTAAAGACGGGAATGTTTATAGAATGGTGCCGCCAGCTTGTTTTCCTTCAGGTCCAAGAAATCAAAAAGATGCAAGATGTGTCAAAAACAACATCATATAAAGAGTTATTTCACTTCTTATTTCTTTTATCAGTTACTTCTGTCAAAAGGACCGATGTGTAACAGGTTGATGTGTTCACCTCAGACGTGTTAGCAAGAAAACGTTTTCAGTGCAGAGATGTTTCAATTAAGTCATTAAAAATAATAAAAATAATCAGCATATTAAATTGTTTTCAGATTTTTTTCCGTCTAGTCCTTGTTGAACCATATATATATA